CCCTCTCAACCAACTCTTGGTTCTCCTCAGAGAGCCAAGAAAGCCAAAAAGGGGACAGCCACGTCACTAGCTGGGGCCTCTCAACAGGATTCAGTTATTGAAACAAGCCTTACCCCCGAGGCGTCTTTTGTTATCCCTCCCAACTCTTTAGTGATTTCTCCCATCACTGTCGTATCAGTGGCACCTTCACCAATCACTTCAGTGACCCAAATCACTGAAAGTGTAGATATCAGCACCGCCGTCGCTGAACACCTTCGTGTTTTCTCAACCATTTTCTCTTCTCCTCCCTCCTTGGTTTTTACACATGTCAATGATGTATCAGTGACTGTCCTTCCTGATACTGAGACACGCACCACAGGACTTGAGGCTGCTCCTCTCGAGGCTCCTCAGCATACGGTTGTCCATCCTCTCGAGGACATCTTTGCTCCCACCAGTGACACTTCTTTTGATGTCACTGAAGGCCCCTCAGGTATTCCATCTTCCTACCSCTTCATTTCTTCTAACCTTGAGCCTTTAGCTCATACTTCTTCTTTTGCATGTCCTTCTTTGATGCATCAACCTGATGCTCGAGAAGTGGAAGAGGGAGAAAGAGAGAAAGATGATAGAGGAGATGAAGATGTCGATGATGACTATGATATGGCATCTGACATCAAACTTCTCCTTCCAGCCGTTGATACCGTTCTCTCCAGGGTCAACGAAGTTCACCAAGAGATGCCCCGCCAAGGCGATCTTGATGCGAACTTCCTAGCCCTCCAGGCGGACGTTCAAGAAGTTCAGAGTCAGCTCCAGACTCTCCAAGAAGCTATTCACACCAACAACGATGCCATTGATGTTCTTCATAGCGGGGCTGACGATGCCCAGGCGATAGCTGATCAGCAGATTGGACTTCTTCAGCAAATCTTGGATGCTGTCCGTCAACCAGCTCCAGTGAGTGCATCCTCCTTCTCTGCCGATGATCGTGCCCAGCTCCATGAGATGCGTAAGGCAACGACAACTCTAGCCAATGCTTTGCAAAGGCTGGAGGATTCCATGGTTCTCCAGCGTCAGTGCTTGGACGAACTCTCTAGCCAATTCTCTCAAGTCTTAGCCAGAGAGGGGGAGATGAGGTCCAACATTGGTGGATCATCAGATGCTGCTCCTACAGCTTCTCAGGCTGTTGGTCTAGTATCAGCTTCAGTTGCAGTGGAAGCCGAGGCTCTCAAAGCTGAAGCAGTTGTTGCTCATGTAATGACGACCACCGAAGTTGTTCTAGCTAAGGATGTCGAAGCCATCCCTAGGGATGATGTCCATACCGTCACTACTGCTGGTGATGATGATGATGTTGATGAGGATGAAGATGATAATGATGAAGATGATGATGAACCTGTCATTCCAGACACTGGAGATGATCTAGATGGTGACGACGACGATGATRATGAAGAYGACTTTACCATCAAGTTCCAGAAGCCATCAACCGTCACCAAAGGTGTTGCCCTCAGGGAATCTCAATCCTAGGGGGAGCAAAGACAAGGAGAATCGACTCCATTAGGGCACCAGGACCCCAAGTCGAAAGGCAAGGCGGTCGCTGAAGAAGGCAACTTGAAGGTACTTTTCTCTTGCCCTCAACAAACCTTATTTGAAGACTCTACCTCTCAGGTAGTGATCACTTCAGAGTATCAACTTCATGTCCCTTCAACAACCTGCAATCGACTGGAGTGGGTATCTGATCAACCCAGCTCTTATACTCCAACAGACCAGCAGATGTCTCAGCTTAAGAGTCGCTCGACCAGACTAGAGTAAAAATTCCTCTTCATACCTCTAGTGGTGGTGAGTTTGACTTCCTTTCTGAAGTTGAAAGACTCGAGGCATTAAGGGCTGAAGAAGAGCTAGAGCTTCAAAAGAAGCAGACTGAAGACAACCTAAAGCTGGCTAAGTCACTAGCTGCTAAAGTCCTTCCCAAGAAAAAGTCCAAGAAAATGGTGAGTGCTGTCCAAGCCCAAGCTAAACTTCTTTCAATGGCAGAAGCTGAACGCAAGAAGAAGCAGAAGCTAGTGGACAAGGATAAGCAATGGAGCGAAGCAAAGCTGAAAAAGAGACTAAGTCCCCGCCCAATCTTAGCGTCAGCATCAGCGGACGATCTAAAGCCGGTGGAACACTGGTCTCAATGCTCATCAACAGGGACAATCTTGATGTCGTTACCGTGTGCCCTTCCTACCTTGGCCGCTATGGATACAGTGAATGGATGTAGATCAGACAAGCCATTTAGCAATCCAAGTCGAGACACAAGACACTTATCGAGGACACCATCAACGAGCTCATCAAAAGGATGTCCAGGTATGTCAAGGTCCCTGACAGGCTAACTCTGAAGAAAGGTGGGAAGAAGAAAATAAAGCTCTCTAATCCGAATGATGGACCATCCCTAAGGAACGAACATGAAACAAAGTTCTCCTTAGATAAAGTCCTAAAGGGTCATATGAGTACTGACATTTCTATGCTGAATCTTGACTTGCCAGATAAGGGTCCCTATACACCCAACTCTGTGCATTTCAAACCTGAGTTAGGAGTTATATTCATTGACTATGAAGGTGAAGTCAGATTTCAGAGAGTGTCAGAGCTACATTTATGTCCAATGGATCACTTGGCGTATCTCTTGCTCTGGATAGATGATAGCATGCCTGGAAAAGTCGTCGATCTGAAGATACAAAGGGAATTCCTACGTCGAAGAAACCTTGGTGAAAATGTACCTGATTACATAGATCTAAGTGTTCTAGAATAAGATTCTCTTTGTAACAACAATCCACTTTTCCTTGTAAATCCTTTTTCTATATCTTCTTTCATTGATTGTATTTACATTCTGTAAATTTTGAACATGTACTGTAATACTTGYATTATTTCCATTGATTAATAAAATGAGTATTCCATGTACTTCACTGAAAAAGATCCCTGAAAAAAGTAATAGGGACACAAGTCTATGAGTTCCAATGTTACTTTCATCATTCACTGACAATCTATAAGTCAGTGAATGAGCTTTCAGTTTCAGTTTTCATCCTTGTAATTTTCTTAAATATAACTTAAGAACACTTCTCAAGCTGAGACTGACCAAACTGAAAAAGATCCCAAAATAGTAAAAAGGGACATGTACTTTACATGTAACTTTTCCTTACTATTATTTGATAAGATAACTTTCTTTATGTTATCTTATTATCATCAAATAGGGGGAGATTGTTGATCCTCTCTCTCAGTGATTTGATGATAATCCCTTTTCCCTTTCACGTTGAATTTGTGTTTCTGTATTTTCAGTTCCAACGATCATCACTGAGCATATTCATTGATCGCTGAAGAACTTGCATAGTAAATTCATCAGAGACAGCAATACTTCAAGAAGACAATACTCACATCAAAGAACCTTCAGCAAACGTCGAAGATTGAAACTGAAGATTAGAGACTGGCGAGTATGTGATCTGAAGCGGTATTCAGTGATTACAAGCCTGTCTACATATGTGTAAAGACTGCTCTAGCTTCAGCGAATGATGATGTGACCTCCAGGTCATTCCAGCATTCAGCGATCAAAGGAAGCTTGTTTAGCATGATTGTTGTTGTCTTGTCCTTATGCACACAAAGGACAAACCCATACCCTTGCAAAAGTTAGTACGGTACGAAGACGATTAGTCGACTCTTTGTCCACCAACTTTAGGCAAGGATGTCTGCTCAGAATAGTGTTTTTGTATTATTCACTGTAGCAAAGGACAAGCCTTCCTCTTAAGGCTTGACACACACTCTAAACCTACCAAATTGCATTAAATGAACATCTAATGCACTGGGTATAAATAGAAGTGTTTCTTCTCCATGCAGAGAGCGCGTATCTCTCTCTAACCCTATTCTTACTTCAAGCAACTTCTAGCTTAAGTAAAGGATCTTTCTCTTAGCTATCTCTTTTCTTGTATTTGCTAAAGATCTGTGTGTAACCAAAGATTGTTTAGATAGGTTTTCWTTACCTTATCTTTCCGCAAACAGTCTTGTAAAATCTGTATTGATCTTCTCTATCAATATATATTTTAGATTTGAAAATACTGTGTTTGTATTCATCCCCCCCCTTCTACAAACTGTTTCTATTCTTGTAGACCCTTACGGGACCAACAGTATCCCTTAGAGACAAGTTGAGCTTTATTTCTGACGACAACTCCGTCTTCATCTTTCTTGTTCTTAAAAACCCATTTAGTACCAATGATTGTTTTGTCTCTAGGAAGCGATACCAATCTCCAGACTTTTAAACTTTTGAACTGATTAAGTTCCTCTTGCATGGCAATAATCCAATGCGGATCATCTAAGGCTTCGAAAACCATATTTGGTTCAATCTTGCTTAAGAATGTGGCATACATACACTCATTAGCCGTAGCAGACCTTGTTCGTACAGACGATGTCGGATCACCAATAATTTGACTCACTAGATGATCCTTGGTCCACTTGTTGTTGTGAGGTAGTGGTATATAGAAGGATTGTCTGAATTCTAATCCATGTAGCCACTTTAGGGATTATCCTGAATAGGTTCATGTGAAGGATTCGCATTAAGATTTACAACAGTCTAATTATTTGCCGAAGTCTGAATGTTTTCTTCTTCAACCACAAGAACTTCTGGTAGAATATTAATTGGAATCTCTTCACACGAGACAAGACTAACTTGATCTTCTGGATTAGATTTATCTGGAATAGAATCAGAAGTTGTATCAGGTTGTACATCAGATGGACCTGATATTTGTTCTTCAACTTGAACTTCATCAACCCTAGAAGAAACATATGAACTATCAGTTTGAACTCCAAAATATTCATCGTAAAATTTTTCATATAACAAATCCACATCAGTAATATTAGACTTAGAAGTTGAAGCTTCATCTGGATTTCTCAGTTGCGGAACAT